ACTTACGTTGTGATCCAGCTTTTGCCATGTCAAAATTAAACTTTTTAATGGCCCAGTATGCACGATGTTCTAATTCTACAGGCAAGTGAAAAGCTTTTCCATAGACAAGTCTATAAGGTGACATTCTTATCGGGGTTTTATATGCAGTTCTGTAAGCCCAAAGAGAATCATTCAAACGTTGTGACCAATCCTTACGGTTAGGATGTACTGTTTTCTCTAAAATATGTTTAATTTCCTGATTAGAAATATCAACTTGTCCACTTGTTTGTGGATGGTAAGGGGTGGCTACTTTATGAGTGATGGAGTACTTTTTCATTAAGGCTTCAAAAGGTTTAATACAAAAATGGGAACCACCATCACTTACGACCGCACGAGGAGTACCAAAACGAGAAAATATGTTATCTTTTAAGAAATTGACAACTACCTTGTGGTCATTAGTGTTACTAGCGACAGCCTCCACCCACCTAGAAACATAGTCGACCGCGACAAAAATATAAAGCTTACCACACGAAGAAGGAAATGGACCCATGAAGTCAATAACCCACACATCGAAGATTTCAACAATTAAAATCGGGGAAAGAGGCATCATGTTCCTACGTGAAATACTACCCATTCGTTGGCATCGATCACAAACTGAATAAGAGTAGGCTAGTAAAAACCACATTGCAAAACTTTTGCAGGTGTCTTTTTAGCACTGAAATGACCTCCACATGAATGGTCATGGCAAATCGAGAGGACACTAGAAAACTCACTCTCAAGAATACATCTCCTAATGACCTAGTCCGGATAGTATTTAAATAAGTATGGGTCATTCAAAAAGAAATGTCTAACTTCGGAAAGGAATAAGTTGACCCGTAACGAGATAGTTTACTATATCGGCATACCAAGGTAATTGGGAGATAGTTAGAAGTTGTTTATCAGGAAAATGCTCGCTTATGGGTATGGAATTGTCACAAGACTCGAGAATATGCCTAGACAAATGGTAAGCTACTACATTTTCAGAACCTTTCTTATCAAAAATTTCTAAATCAAACTCTTGTAGCAATAAAATCCAACGGATCAGCCGAGCCTTAGCATCTTTTTGGATAAAAGATACTTTAATGTGGCATGATCAGAATAAATAATGATTTTAGAACCGATAAGGTAGGAACGAAACTTATCTAAAGCAAACACAACGGCTAGAAGTTATTTCTCAGTGGTGGAATAATTTAGCAGTGCGTCATTCAAGGTCTTGCTTGCAAAATAGATTACATGCGGCATTTTATTTGCATGTTGTCCTAAAACGGCTCCAACGGCATAATCAGAGGCATCACACATGATCTCAAAAGCTAAATCCCAATTAGGTGGTTGGATGATTTGGGTAGAAGTTAATAAAGCCTTAAGCTTCTCAAAAGCTTTTAAACAATCATCATTAAAGATAAAGGGTGTATCTTTATGCACGATGTTCTAATTCTACAGGCAAGTGACAAGCTTTTCCATAGACAAGTCTATAAGGTGACATTCCTCTTGGGGTTTTATATGCAGTTTTGTAAGCCCAAAGAGAATCATTCAGACGTTGTGACCAATCCTTATGGTTAGGACGTACTGTTTTCTCTAAAATATGTTTAATTTCCCGATTAGAAATTTCAACTTGTCCACTTGTTTGTGGATGATAAGGGGTGGCTACTTTATGAGTGATGGAGTACTTTTTCATTAAGGCTTCAAAAGGTTTATTACAAAAATGGGAACCACTATCACTTATGACAGCACGAGGAGTACCAAAACGAGAAAATATGTTATCTTTTGAGAAATTGACAACTACCTTGTGGACATTAGTGTTACTAGCGACACCCTCCACCCACTTAGAAACATAGTCGACCGCGACTAAAATATAAAGCTTACCACACGAAGAAGGAAATGGACCCATGAAGTCAATAGTACCCCACACATCGAAGATTTCAACTATTAAAATCGGGGAAAGAGGCATCATGTATCTTTGGCAAGTAGACTGCACAAAGGTCTCGAAATTTTACTAAAATCTTTAATGAATCGACGATAGAAACCTACATGACCTAAGAAAGACCTAACTTCCTTAACCATTTTAGGTGGTAGAAAGTTAGAGATTAAATCAGTCTTGGCTTTGTCAACTTCAATACCCTTACTGAAAAATACATGCCCAAGAACAATACCTTGTTTCACCATAAAATGACATTTTTCCCAATTTCAAACAAGATTTTTCTCTTCACATCTCGTAAGGACTAGAGATAAATGGTGCAAACATTCATCAAAGGAATTTCCAAACACATAAAAATCATCCATAAAAAGCTCAAGGAATATTTTAGCCATATCGGAAAAGATACTAAGCATACACCGCTGAAAAGTAGTAGGTGCATTTAATAAACCAAATGGCATACGACGATGTGCGAAAGTTCCAAAGGGACAAGTGAAGGTGGTTTTCTCTTAATCCTCAGGTGCAATGGGAATTTGGTTATAACCTGAATAACCATCAAGAAAACAATAATACTCATGTCCGGCTAACCTTTCAAGCATTTGGTCGATGAATGGAAGAGGGAAGTGATCTTTCGTACTGACCAAATTTAGCTTACGATAGTCAATACAAGCACGCCACCCAGTAGTCTTATGAGTTGGAACTAATTCATTATTATCATTTTTGACTACCGTGATACCTGATTTCTTAGGAACAACCTGAACAAGACTAACCCACGAACTATCGAAAATTGGGTAAATAATACCCTAATCTAACAACTTAAGCACTTCAGTTCGAACAACTTATTTTAAGTTAGGGTTAAGTCGGCGTTGTGCCTCACGGGTAGGTTTGGTGTTATCTTCCAGATGAATTCGATGCATACAAACCGTAGGACTTATACCCTGGATATCAGCTATGGACCACTCTAAGGCTACTTTATGGTTTCTAAGAACGTCTAATAACTTACTCTCCTGGTCATTCGTAAGATCGGAAGAAATTATAACAGGCAGAGTTTCAGAAGAACCTAGAAACGCATATTTAAGAGTCTCAGGTAATTGTTTCAGTTCAAGCTTGGGTGTTTTCTCAATGGAAGGGACGGGTTTAGACTCAGAGGGTGGGAGGGATTCCACTTTGGTTTTCCATTTACCAGTATCTAAAGGTGGTGTTAAATCTAACACAACATTAACTTCTCTTATGGAATTTCCTACGTCACCATCTAAACCAGGATGACTTAAACAAGTTCCGAGTAGATCGTTTGAACTAGAACTTAAGAAAGTGTCATCTACCACGTTTTCTATCACATCAACCTTAAAGAAATCGTCAGAATCAGGTGGTTGTTGACTAACATTAAACACATTAAGTTCTACTGTCATATTCCCAAATGACAAATTCATGATCCCATTCCGACAATTAATTATAGCATTGGATGTAGCAAGGAATAAACGACCTAAGACGACAAGAATTTGGTTATTAGGATTGTGAACAGGTTGCGTATCTAAGACAATGAAGTCTACTGGGAAATAAAATTTGTCAACCTTAATGATCACATCCTCAATAATACCGCAGGGAATCTTAACAGAATGATCAGCTAACTGTAAGGTTACTTGAGTCGGTTTTAACTCACCAAGACTTAGTTGCTCATAAATAGAAAAAGGTAAAAGATTAACACTAGCCCCTAAATCTAGTAATGCTTTCTCAATGAGATAATCACCAATCACACATGAAACAATAGGTCATCCAGGATCCCTATACTTAGGGGGGTTTTGTGTTGAATAATTGAGCTAACTTGTTCGGTGAGGAATGCCTTCTTATGCACATTTAATTTACGTTTTTGGGTACAAAGGTCTTTCAAAAATTTAGCATAAGCAGGAATTTGTTTAATCGCGTCAAGCAAAGGAATATTAATTTGGACTTGTTTAAACACTTCCATTATATCATTAGAATTCGACCCTTTCTTAGCCGGGGCTAACCGTGATGGAAACGGTGCCTTTGGCACATAAGATGTATCTGGAATCCGATTTTCTTTATCTTGCAAGACATTTTCAGCTTCTTGATCAGATTTGGATTCATCTTGTGAGGGTTTCTTCGATGAGGTAACAACTCTATGACTAGGTTCCACTACCTTATTGTCAACTTCTCTTCCATTTCTAAGAATAGTAATAGACTTAGCCTCTTCATTAGTCGACCTAGAACTCGTACTAACATCATGTTGACCCTTAGGATTTTGGATAGGTTGACTAGGAAATTTACCAGGTTCCCTCCCACTTAAAGAATTAGCAATCTGTCCTACAGCTATCGCAAGCTTGTTAATAGCTTGAGATTGTTGTTGAGAAGTAGACTTAAGCTCGTTTATGGTTTGAGATTGTTGCGCACATATATTACCAGTTTGTTGCATAAAAAGCTTAAGTGAATCCTCTAGATTAGGTGTAACCTGAGGAGTAACCTGATTAAATTGTGGTCTAGTATTTGGAGGATGGAATGGTTGAGATGGAGGAGCCACTGCTGGACCTCCTTGTTGGGGACCTTGGCTATATGAAAAATTAGGATGCCTAGCCCATCCTGGGTTGTATGTGTTTGAATAAGGATCATTAAAGGGTTTCCTAACATTATTAAAAGCATTAACTTGTTCAGTAAAATAGTCGGGAAACTCAGTTTGAGGACATGCTTGAGACGTGTATGGAGAGTTAGTATAACCAGCAAAGACTTCAGAAGGTGCATTAACAGGTTGACTAGCTGAGAAGAGAGCATCTATCTTACGAGTTAGACTTTCAACCGCATTTTCTAACTTAGATGATGAAGACGTGGTTTAGGTAAGGATGATGGATCTTTTATTTCATATAAACCACTCTTTCGCTTCTCCACGTCTTTCTTGGAATAATCCCATTGTTGGGAATTTTCTGAGAGGGTTTCAAAAAAATTCCATATCTCTTCGACACTTTTCTCCATAAGGGAACCTCCACTAGTAGAGTCAATTATGCTGCGGTGTTGTGGTGTCAAACTGTCGCGGAAATATTGTATTTGACTCCATTTCGGGATTTCATGATGAGGACACTTGATTAATAAATCATTAAACATCTCCCAACAATCGAAAAAATGTTCAACTTCTTTTTGTTGGAAGTTGGTAATTTCTCATCGAAGAGCGTTGGTTTTATGAATTGGGATGTACTTAGATAAGAATTTAGTGTATAAAGCTTCCCAAGACGTAATGGTTCCAATCTTTAGAGAATTTAACCAGGATTTCACCCTATCTTTTAGAAAGAAAGGGAATAACCTAAGACGGACAGAGTCATCAAAAAAATTGGGATACTTGAAAGTCGCACAAATGTCAAGAAATTCTTTGACATGGAGATAAGGATCCTCTTTATCTAATTCATAGAAGGATGGTAAAAGATGAATGATAGAAGGTTTTAATTCAAAGCTAGTTGCATTTGTTTGAGGTAAGACAATGCAAGACGGAGTATTACTAGCTATAGGTGAGAAGTAATCCTTAAAAAGTTTTTCTTCAGCCATCTCGTGAAAGATTGATTTTTTACCTACAAATGTTGACTCTACTAACTCGCTAGACTCTATGCTTACTAAACAACCTGTAGAATCACGCTCCCAACACAACATAAACTAGCACACACAAGCAAAAATAAAACAAAGTAATCCAAGCAATATTGACTCGATAATTGATGTGATGAAATCAATTTGTTTTAATTTACTGTGGGGCTTCACAGAATTCTTTGTCTTTATGCCCAAAAAAAAATAAAAAATTGCTCCTACTCTTTAGAAGACACACACCTCAGTTCTTGCACCCTTTCAGGCACTGTCACACCCCCGGTTTGTGATTCTATTAAATTTACACACCTCAGTTCTTGTACCTTTTCAGATACCGTCACCACCCCCGGTGTATAAAAGTTAAGAGTTTTCCTATTAAGCAGGACAAATCCTGACTTGCAATATAATATCCTATGGGTCGGTTGAGTGAAGTCCAAAAGTTAAAATAAATAAACAAATAAAATAAACAAAACAATCAAGCAAACACACAAAGAAATAAAACCACGTGCCGATGTGGGGATAAGAAAATTACCTCTGGCTCACTACCTGCGGGTAGATTTTTGCCAGGTGACGATCGATGACACCACACAGAAACTGTTGTATTCTGTATTTTTTTTTGTCAGACCTGTCAGAAAATTGGTGTGGTCGCCCGTCGCGAATTCTACTACTGCAATTGGTCGCCCGGCGCGAGTTTTACTGTTTCAGCAAATTTTTGGACAGTTCTGAAT